GTCCTTATGGCACCAAACCACAGGTTAGTGAAAAACTCATAAAGATAAAGCCAGAAGATTCTGAGTCTCCTTGTAAACTCAATTTCTTTTATTTATAGAGCCTACTGATTCTTATAAAAGATAGACAATAGTATAAATGCTATATAATGGATCTTTCAATGCTTAGCATCTCACAAGGGTGGTATATGAATTGTGGTGCCAAAAAGAAGGAGGTAGGTTGATTGCTGTTCAAAGGGGCAAGATTTAGGACTTGGTACTGAGCCCATTCCGTTTCATAAATGGGCATGTGGTACCTGAAGTAGAAGAAAAAATACACTGAAGTTACTGTGATACAGCTTTTGGTTATTCATGCTAATGGGAGGAGTGGTAAAAGAGCTGAATGAAAGTGTAAATAACCCTTAAAGCTCATCTCAGGCAACTGTCCCAACATCTCTTATGCAAACAACTTTAACAATTTAGCAAAATCTGAATAAAAATGATTTGAATGTTTCCTTACTTTTCTTTCCCGGTATACATAGTGCATAGTAAAAATAGTACCTATATAGTATCACATTTTTTGAAAAAGCAAAAATGAATAGAAAGAGTAGAAGCAGAATATATAGATTAACCACAATTTAGATGATCATTAGTTCCCCAGAAGCAGTTCTAATAACTTCTAGTCACTGTTGAGTTTAGTCAGGGAAAATAATGGGAAAAACCTACAACTTTACTAGGATGTTCTTAAAATGTCTTTCTGCTACTCTCTAAAACAACAAAAACAAAAACTTTGAAATCTAGCATAATTAGAAATGAAATTAAGTTGAAATATTGAAAGAGTCATGAAGAAATACTAATGAATCTCTATTTCTTTAAAGAAATTGAAATTACATTAATCAATGGTGACCTGAAGTAAATTCATCAAAATGTGCTCCTAAAATTAAGAGCAAATTATAATTATATAAAAACCTCCAAGCTGGGCTGTTTCTACATTGCTGTAAGCTCTGGCAGAAGAATGCTATATAGTCTACCCACTTGACTTTTTGCCCCTATTTATTTTATCCCCCATCCCTTCCCTCACCACCACAATAACCACACTCAGGCTTTCTTACTTTCTATGCAAGTGGAGTCAGTTTAAAACAAATCTCAGAGGAAGCCACAGAGTGAGAAAAAGGAGCGTAAGACTAGGAGTGGCTTCAAGGTGGCCCTAATACTTTAAAGGAAGTTGAAGAGGGGGGAATAGGGGCCACTAGGTATATGCAGTAAACTTTTGACTATCTTATTCTTAGTTTTCTTAAGCGAACCACGCAGTCCCTACTTGGAAATCATTTGTAAATGTATCATCTCTTCTAATTTTGCTTCAAGGCTGGTGTGTGGCATAATGAATGGGTTTAACGAATTTCACATTTCACATTGATAACTCTCTTTAATGGGCTCTTGGAACTTAGAATATGTCTAAATGTCTCTGAAAAAACTCTCATAATGCTGTGTGTATATGTAACATTTTAGCACCCAATTGGAGGTCCTCCCTAAATTATTCCGCATCCACACAACAGGTATGAGGAAGAAGTGATCAAATTATGACTCAGGGTAACATTTACCAACACTGTTTCTGTTTACCATTTAGATCTGTCTGTTCTTTAAAAAAATACAGTGCTTTTTGGACCATTCTCATCTATCATATGCGATCACATCCCTTACTTTCTTGGCTATTGTGAATATATTGAACCTGGAAAAGATGTTTTACATCTGAAATTCTATTTCTCAAATACAATCTGTTTTAGCAAGTCTTTTTTATTTTTTGCTATTCTTATTAATATGGGATACAACCTTCTGTTACCAACACTAATTATTCATATATAATTATGTATACCCGTGTTTTTTTAAAAATGAGTTAGACATGAGGAAATTAGACAAATATAAAATAAGATCAGGCAAATTAGTTGGAACCAGAAGTGAGTTTGTGCACAAATTTTAAGCCCCAGAGTCTTACAAAATTCTGGCTGTGAGCCTTCTAGAGGTCATATGAGAAAATGAAACATGATCAGATCCATGGTTAATTGTCTATAAGTCAAAACAGATAGGGCTTATCTGAGCATGGACTTTCAGGGACGTAAGAGGTGGTAGGACCAAGTAGAATTGTCGTTGTGGTGAAGGAACATTTACAACTTCCCAGAGGAGGGAAAATCTGAATTTCATAAGCTAGTTCTGATGTGACGGGTCCACAGATTTCCTTTTAGAAATTACTGAGCTGAAACAACAGTCCGAATGTTCCTTCTCATCCTTTGTTTAGGCTGGCTGTTTGAGAAGGCATAACTCTCAAACCGTCCAGCAGGATTCTTAGTAGTGGTCTTACTCCACTGAAGACTTTTAAGTGAGGGACCCAAAGAGCAGAGGAGCAGACTCGTACAGAATCAGTTAGACATCAAAGGTCTCTAGGCATGGTTCATTTTGCTCTTGGTTATATTAATACAATTGAAGCTAGTGCTTTAAGTCAAGGAGATTTTAGAATACGTTGGAAAGTTGTTCTGCTATTATTCTTAGGAGCCTCCACCATAAGACTACAGTAGCCGAAGCAATACTACATCAAATGTTGACTGGGCATAGCCAAGTGCAGAAGAGTACAGGTATTGTAGTCTGCCAGGAAGATCAGTGTGATTTCTTGAAATTTTATTTTCTTCTTTGGGTGTGATATTGATTTGGACCTAGAAGTTCTCTCCTCAACCTCTCATGGAGAGAGAATCTGAAACAAATACTTTCCATTTAAAAAGAACCATAAAAATCAGGGCAGCCTGGTGGTGTCATGGTTAAGCCCACGGTTCGTGGGTTTGGATCCCAGGCGTGAGCCTACACACCTCATTAAGCTATGCTGTGGCAGCCTTCCACATACAGAATAGAGGAAGATTGGCACAGATGTTAACTCAGGGACAGTCTTCCTCAAGCAAAAAGAGGAAGATTGACAACAGATTTTAGTTCAGGGCCAATCTTCCTCACCAAAAAAATGATAATGATAATAAATAAATAAACTTGTTATCCCAAATGGACCTTGATTGGTTTCTGTAATAGATGATGGTAATTGTGTTTCAGTATAATAAGCCCTACTATCTTTTAAATGATAAGAAAGAAATACAATGAAACAAATACCAGTAATGAGAACTGGTATTTATTGGCACTTCCTATATGCTGGGCACTGTGCTAAGCATTGCACCTGCTTTATCTCATTTCATTTTATCAACTACCCAATGATATAGGTGCTTTTCTTTTATCTATTTTATTAATGAAGAAACAGTCATAGAGAAACGAACAACTTGCCCAAAGTCACAAGGCTAGTAAGGAACAGATGAGAGAACCAGAACTCAGCTCCTGGTCTGACTTCAAATGATGTATAAATTTCTTAATTATGTTGTAATCTGAACCTCTCTTTTATTCTTGTGACAGAGGAAATTTCTAGGGGAATAGGCTTGCCATTGACAGAAATAGGGGAGAATTGCCATGGGGAGGCATGTGAAGCTTATGAAAATATGAATTTTCTGAGCTGGTTTTGATATACCTATCCCAAGAAAGAGTTTTCTTTCCTGAGTCAAGAAGTAAGACATGCAAAACCTAGACTTTGAGTTGACCATACCTGCATCAGAAAGTATTTCCAAACCTTTCAAATTGGTGGATTTGTTCATTCCTGAGTAGCTTCTTTACACACAGAGGGGGTATACACACAATTTGAACAATAAGTAGATTTTTGTTGGCTCTTAGTTTTATCCTAATTATATAGAATTCTCTCTCCATTGATACCATTTAGATGAAATGGTTTTTCATGGTAGAACAATATCCTCTGAAGGGTTGATCTTGCATCACATGTACATGGATTAAACTGTTTAAAAAGGTTTTTTAATATTTAAGATTTTATCTCAATAGGTGTTTGAAGAAATTAATTAGCACATCAACACTGTGATTTTACAAATATTATTGCTTAGGTAAAACTTGGTTGATTTTTAAAAGGGAGTGAATATAAAGCCAAAACTCTACAAAGTTAAATACTCAGGAAGCACATAAATAAACAACTATGAAGTTGGTGCATGAATGCCTGAAGTTTGGCAAAGACTTGATAGCATTACATCCTTTCAGTGACTAGCTAATGCCAAGCCCTATTCTTCTGTAGATTGTGGATAAGTAACTTTTGGAGGAATAATATAAGGGGAGGATTAAGTCTAGAATAGATTGTGTTTCCTTTTTATTTCTTACCCCCGCTGTGTCAGATGAAGGAATTTCTGGTGCACAGAGCTATGACTTTTTCAAAAGTATCTTTTCATTTCCTTTATGAATAGCATTTTCCTTACTTGCAGGCAACGATGTATATTGAGTGTACAGTGTTTCCTTAGCTTTTTCCTTCTCTAGCATTTCATTTCCCAAGTCCTTTGTGGAACATAAACAGTTCTAGTCTATTTTTTTTTCCCCCTCAACCCTGGTGGTTTGTTTTTCCTTACAGTCAGTGTTGCAGCGCTGAGGCAGATAAAACGGTCTTGCCAAAGTCAGAGAAGATGTATAAAAATAAAAGATACCATAAGCTGCAATTAAGCAATGCCCAAGGGTCAAAGTAATTTCCCTTTCCATAATAACTGCCTTACTCAAATGAGAATTCCCAAATGTGAAATGTACTGTAGAAAATGTACTCACTCAAGTTTTCTTTAAGATTCAAAATGACACTAAAATTGGAATTACTATTGTTTTCTAATATGGCATCGGGAATAATTCCATACGTTCACATTTTTTTATCTTCATCTTCTTCTGGTGCTTTCTTTCAGTCTCATCTCAGATCTTCTTAGCAGTGATTAATTTAAGAAAGGATGTGGATTTCTTACTTATTTTATTGCATTTCTTGTGTTGCATCTTCATAATGACTTTGTTTTACTCGGTAACTTCCTTGCATTTTTAAAAATGAGCCTATTACTGCTCATATTGAAACTGAAGCAAATGAAATGAAGCTTGACAGAGAATTAAAACCATGTGTTTTCTCTTCTTCTCTTCAGATGGTAAGGTTGAAGTTACAAAAGAAGGTGTGAAGCTATGCACCATGGGTCCAGGAAAAGTTTTTGGGGAGCTGGCTATTCTTTACAACTGTACTCGGACAGCGACCGTCAAGAGTAAGACTGTTTCTTGTTTTTCAAATACTTTCAATGTCTTTTTTCCCTAGACCTGTGAGATATAAATTAACATGCTGCTCAATTTAATCTTTGAGATTTTATTAATATATGGTTCAATTTTTGCTTTGCAATACAGTTGATATGTTTGTTTTCCTACTAAAGGATGATTGTTGATCAATTCTGCATAAGTTAAATTATGTTTCTGGCTTATGAAAAATATCTTTTTAACCTAGAAGTCTTACAAATTAGGGTTTACAAAATGATACCATTTCATAAGTTAGAATTAAACAGGAGCAAGATCTTTTCTTTTTCTACCATTAAAGCCTCAGGATTGTATTTAAGAAATTTATATATCTCTCTATTTTGGGTTACATTCCCCACATAAATTCCACTTGTTCATTCAGTGGTTTAGAAAAAATAAGAGGAGAAATGTCTTTCATCTCATTCAAACATTGAGTAAGATATATCCTGAATTCTAAAACTATGTCTGAGTATATTCTTGTCTTCAGCTGCTCATCAAGCTGTATATTATAGCATTTTTCTCTTCTACTGATTGAGCTTATTTTAAATCGGGGCAATAAAGGAGCTTGTTTCCCTAATTTTACATGTATGTGTATATATGATTTCTCTAGCAACTTTTATTGCTTGATGGAAGCAGCTGCAATAGTCAGAGGGGAAAAAAAAATTTGTTTTAAATATTCCTCCTTCGTGACTGCAGGATGTAATGAGTGTATAACAAACAGAGCTGAGTGCAAAAGCCAACAATGGAAGGTCCATTGCATCTTTAGGCAGACGTATATTTCATGTTGGAAAAGTTCTTCTGACTCATCATCCTGTGAATGATTGCAACCACAAGTTACTTTGATTAGATCGTGTTGTAAAAAAATGCTATTGGCAAAATGACACTTAGTTAATATCAATTAGTTTTATCTGGATGTCACTACTTTGTACCTTGGTTTTTCTTCTCTCAGAAGCGTGCCATATGACTGACAATATGACATTGAAACAGGTTCTAAAGAACTCAAGAATGCATGGCCACCTAGAGTCCAAGAAACTCTCTTACATGTCTTATTAGTGAATCATCTTTTTATTCATTGGAATCACTGTGACATCAATTGCACTCGTATAAGATGCATACTTCTTGGCATTTGATTCTTGGTCCGTGAAAGCACAGAACTCATTTGATAGATAGGCACTGCCACGTTTTTATTTTATGTGATCATTTAATTACATGACTCAAAGAATAATGAAGCCCAATGAACCATAACAGACTCTGCCAGGACTTTAACTCACTTAAAACGTGTCTTAACCAGAAAAAAAGAGTAGTCATGATTCCATTAAGCAAAGAGGTTTTACTATCATGCTTCATTTTCATGAGAAATACATTCCTTTTAGTGCAAAAAAAGGGCCAGAACATTTTGATCAAAACATGCTTTCTCAGAATTATGAATAGTAATTTTTTTAAAGTTTTTAAATACTTAAATTTTGAAGATATTTCAACCTTGTATACTCCTCATTTAATCTAATTGAAACTAAAAAATTTGCAAGGGTCAACAGTTGGTAATAACACGGTGCTTAATCTTTTGAAATACTGAATTCTTATTAAAGAAATATTTTAAATAAACTAGTGTATCTAAATGAATTTTACGGCAAAAGATTTTTTCATAAGATGATTGCTTTGCTTCATAAAAATCAATTTTAATTTCCTATAACATGGAGTTAATCTGCACTAGCCTCTATTATACTCATGTTTGGTAAATTTCAATAGACACTATGCATCTATCTGATTCAACAAGAAGGAACTGGATGCTGAATGCAAATTATAATCATAACTACTTTGGGGTCAGAACATCCATCATTAAAGGAAATGAGTGATAAAGCATCTTCTATAACAGACTCAGAGACATCTCACGTGTGAGTGTGTGTGTTTCTTCATCATGCCTACTTAAGATGTGGAGGTTGCATTGAGAAAAGCGCTTAGGGTTAATGGTGTGCAAATACATCTTTGCATTTATAGCACAGAGGTTTTGTGCATGAGTAAGGAATAATATCTATTAAGAACTATTCATTCTGAATGTTGTGAAGGAACTGTAAAGTGTGAATGATTACTTGTTGTTCAGGAGCTTTTTGTCTTGTCTCTTATACTACCCCGGAAATTGTACTTATGACTGTTGGCCTTAAGTACTATTTTTAATTTATGTTTAAATTAAATTCTCAGACTGATCACTTTATAATTCTGATTAGATTCCATTGTGGATGTTACTTTTACCAAATGACTGCAGAATATAACCCCCAATTCTATCTTAGTCTTTAAATGTCATATTTTTAAATGTCCATATTTGGCTTTTTAGATCCAGGCATTTGTCAGGATTCAAGAATTCATCAACTCTTGTCCATTTCTTCTTAATTATCATTTGCCAGTGACCATTCAGGGTAACTTTCAAAGTGGATTCATGCACTTGGGTGTAATAGTCTAAACTTAGGGAGATGGCCCTTCCTACACAGTAGCTAATCTGTCCAGGCCATTTTCCATCTTACTTACCTGGCTTTGTGACCCCATCTCCCCCAGCATCACCCACTTTCTTACATGATTGAAAATTTCTTAATGATCCCTTTCTTTTTTATTTCTCCCTGCGTCAGCCTGAAAGCTGCCTAGCATTTTAATGCATTTTTAATCTCACAGTCATAAACATAACCTGGGTGACATTCAACAGCTCTTCGATGTACATGAGTCGTTTCTTGTTCAAGAGAGCACTTTTTGAAATTGTATCAGGCCACAAATAAATAAATCCCAGTGATTTCCTCTGCTAACTAATGTGATCCTAACACCTGTGGGTTGTTATTTTTAAACTGAGGATATAAAAAAGTAGTTTTCTTATTTTTTTATTGAGGTATAATTGACATATGGCATTATATTAGTTTCAAGTGTACAGCATAATTCAATATTGTATATATTGTGAAATGATCACAATAGTAAGTCTAGTTAACATCCATCACCATACATAGTTACCCAATTTTTTCTTCTTGCAATGAGAACATTTAAAATCTCCTTTCTTAGCAACTATCAAATATGCAATACGGTATTATCTATAGTCACTATGCTGTGCATTACATCCCCATGACTTATTTATTTTATAACTGGAAGTTTGTACCTTTTGACCCCCTTCACCCATTTCACCCCACCCCCCCAACCTCTGGCAGCCACCAATATCTTCTCTGTATCTCTGAGCCCAGTGTTTTGTTTTTTTAAGATTCCACGTATAATTGAGATCATATAGTATTTGTCTTTCTCTGCCTGTCTTATTTCATTTAGCATAATGTCCTCAAGGTCCACCCACCCATGTTGTAGCAAATAGCAAGATGTCCTTCTTTTTTATGGCTGAATAATATTCCATTGTGTGTGTGTGTACACATACACATGCATTCACACACATAGAGATGGTACTTGACTTACAATAGTTCAACTTAATGAGTTTTCAATTATACGATGTCAAAAAGCAATATGCATTCGGTAGAAACCATACTTCAAATTTTGAATTTTGATCTTTTCCCAGGCTAGTGATATGCAGTCTGATGCTCTTTCATGATGTGCTGCCACAGCTCCCACTCAGCTATGCGATCAGGAGGGTACACAACCGACACACTTACAACCATTCTGTACCCATACAACCATTCTGTTTTTCATTTTCAGCAGTGTTAAATAAATTCCATGGGATATTCAACACTTTATTATAAAATAGGCTTTGTGTTAGATGATTTTGCCCAACTGTAAGCTAATGTAAGTGTTCTGAGAGTGTGTAAGGTAGGCTAGGTTAAGCTATGATATTCAGTAGGTTAGGTGTTTTAAATGCGTTTTCGACTTGATATTTTCAACCTATGATAGGTGTATGGGGACATATTCTCTTATGTTCTGGAAGATCTGTACCACATTTTCTTTATTCATTCATCCATCAATGGACACTTAGGTTGTTTCCATATCTTGGCTATTGTAAATAATGCTGCAATGAACATGGGCATGCATATATCTTTTCAAGTTAGTGTTTTCATTTTATTTGGATAAATACCCAGAAGTGGGATTGCTGGATCATATGGTAGTTGTATTTGTAATGTTTTGAGAAATCTCCATACTTTCTTCCATAATGGCTGCACTACATTACATTCCTACTAACAGTGTTCAAGGGTTCCCTTTTCTCTATGTCCTCACCAACACTTGTTATTTCTTGTGTCTTTGGTAATAGCCATTCTAACAGCTGTTAGGTCCTATCTTATTGTGGTTTTGATTTACGTTTCTCTGGTTAGTGATATTGAGCATCTTTTCATATACCTGTTGGCCATCTGTACATCTTCCTTGGAAAAATGTCTATTCAGATCCTCTGTCCATTTTTAAATCCGATTGTTTGTTTTTTTCTATTGAGTTACATGCATTCTTTATATATTTTGGGTATTAACACCTTATCAGATATATGATTTGCAAATATTTTCTCTCATTTATTAGCTTCCCTTCCCATTTCGTTGATGGTTTCCTTTCCTGTGCAGATACTTTTTAGTTTGATGTAGTCCCACTTTTTTATTTTTGCTTTTATTGCCTTTGCTTTTGGTGTCAAATCCAAAAAAATCATCACCAAGACCAATATCAAGGCACTTACCACCTATGTTTTTTTCTAGGAGTTTTATGGTTTTAGATCCTACGTTCAAGCCTTTAATCCAAAAAGAAAAAATACTTTTCTTACTAACGCTATAGATTGACATATGCCATAAATTATTTTTATGAGCTTGTTCATAGTGATCCAACTGAAGGAAGTACCATGGAGTTTGAAGAAAGCTCTTTGTTTTTATCTGGAAAAAATCAATTGGCGTTCTTCTGAAAATAAATGTGTGCCACTGGCTCTTATGTTAGCACCAGGAGGAAGATCTGATAGCAGCAAGAATAATAACTTTTTAAAAATCGAAACCATAGTGATATGGAAAGAAAACATCATGGTGTGATGCAAAAGATCCAT